ACATTCAGTGTGGTTACATGGATGCTGTGGGTCCAGCAGGGAACAGACTGGACAGGATGGGATGTGGAGGCTGTGCATTGAGGACCCAGGAGGAACCACAGGACAAGAAGAGTGAGGACATCCCAGGCTGGGAGGGATGGTGAGCCCAGCTTGGTGACCCGCCCTGGTACGATTAGTGTCGACAGAGAGACTTGGTGAGGCTGCCAAGGACATGGTGGAAAAAAATGGCTGGAGATACAGGTCACCTAGGATGCAGGAGGACAGACAGACAGAGGCACTGTGTCTTCTGCAGGGCCTACAACGGAGCTCCAGGTGATGCTTTATGTGGGCCCACTTCTCTGCTAGTGGGTGCAGCCGGCTGTGGTTGAGCTGGGAGCTGGGGAGGGGAGGAGCAGGCAGACAGGAGGTGCTGGGTGGCCTTGGCATATGGGAGTGGGCCTCTCTCCTACCTCTGGCCAAGGTAATTCCAACAGTATCACTGTTTGGGGTTAAAAATACCCATCGTATCCCAGGGGCTTGCTAGTGAGTTTGGAGCCGTTTCTGAAGGGTGTGGACCCATGGAGCTGTCCCCTCCGGCGGTTTCTATGTCTTCGGCTGGCCACATCTTCAGTTGACAAGCAGTCAGTACTCCTGAGCTCTGCACCTTTGGAACTTGCCCCTCCAGAGAGCCCTGGTGGCCAAGTGGTGAGACACTGCTCTGAAATCCCAAAGGCATGTGGTTCAAAATCACTAGCCGCTTCGTGGGCGAAGGATGGGCAATCTCCTCCTGTGCAATTTATGAGTCACTTCTGACCACACACAACCACCCCCCCCTCCCACCAGGGAGCCCATCTCAACAACCCGCAGCTGTGCTCCTTCAGGTGCTCCTGCCAGATGCTTGTGGGTGTCTGGCTCTCACCCCCCACATCAAGCCTTGAGCAAACTCTAATACATCTGCCTTGAAAACAGTCTGAATGTCTCCACTGCCCCTGCCCTCAGCCTGGGCTGTCCTACAAGCCAGCGGTCTTCACCTCTCCCTGGCGCAGCGGCCTGAAAGCTCCTGTGGCCAAAGTCAAGTCAAAGTAGGAACCAACTCATAGCTGATCCTCCATTGTGTTTCTGAGGCTGTCGATCACACAGGGAGGAGATTACTTATCTTTCCCCCTCTGAATCATTGGTGGATTTGAACCCTGTGAAACAGATGTGTCAAGACAACTTTTTACGGACTAGAGCTCAGCCTCCTTCCCAGCTCCACTAGGGAATTGAGATCTTCTTAAACGTGGGCACCAAGGAACCACCCCCAGGCACTCCTTGAATTCAGTTCTTCCTCCTGCTAAGCAAGTATAGCAACATGGGAGTTGGATAGACAGAGTGACTGCAGCAGTGGCCTCCAGTGTGTCAGCAAGGATGAGACGCCACGGGATAGGACAGGACTCAGATCTGCTGTTCACAGGATTCCTCTGAGTTACACTTGACTCGATGGCACCTAGCAACAGCCACCACCACCACACGGAAAGTGAATTAATAGGAACCAAGTGCTCGTTGCAATGGGGTGTGGGTGTACTTAATCAGGGCAAAACATCTGCCTTGTAGTTTTGTGACCAAGCATTAGACATGCTCCCTGAGACATGGCTCGCTCTGCCCTGGCTCAGCCCCTTAACAACCTGACCCTGAGTCTGTTCAGATAAATGTCAGAGGTCTCAGAATGGCCTGGAAAACCCCAAGTGATCCGTTACCATCGCTACGGTTTCCTTCCATGCCCCGCCCCCTGTTCTCCCACCTCCAGCCACGCTGGTCCTTTATTTATTCTTCTGCTTCAGAGCTTTGTAGACCCACGGTTTGCTCCCACACTGCCTTCAAGTTTGCTTACAAGTCACCTTCCCAGTGTCATCATCTTTGAGTCCCTGTTCTCCCTCCTCCCTGCATCCTTCTTCTGACTCGACCACACTCTAAACCCACCGTTTTATTCACAGTTCCTCGCCCAGTCCTTGCATAGAAGACGTGCTCAGTGTAGGAGTGGTTGAGTGTCTTAAATGGACATTTCAGCCCCTCTGTGCTTCCTTAGCTCCGGTGGTGCAGTCCACAGGCAGCTGGCACTACTAATCAAAGATGGCAACTTATTGGTGGTTTGAATCCGTGGGCAGCTGGAAGGGAGAAGGAGGGGCATCCTCCTCTCATGTCATTCCCAGCCTCTGAAAACCCTCTGGAGGCTCTGCTATGAGTTGGTTCCGACTCCATGGCAATGAGTTTGAGAGTTTCTGAATCCCTCTTTGGGTATTTCTGAAGGGAGCGTGCCCCCTCCCCTCCATTGATACGACCCAGGTTTTCAGTCTGTGGGTGAGTGAATCCATTTGCCTACCGACCCCTATCTCGAGCGCAGAGAAACATTATAGTAAGCATGCATCCGAAGGATGAGGTTTCAAATGCATATAGACATTCAAGTGGTGAATATTGCATGCCTGTTTAAAAATGTTACTGAATTCCATGTAGCTGTTTGGTTATAATATATTTTCTCTGTCAAGCAATACTTCCACTGCCATTATTAGTGCATCCTCTCAAAAGAGTTAGGAACCCCTTGCCTTGAGTTTTAAAAGGGCTCTAATAAACAAGTGTGAAGACTCACGCTGTCCTTTATCTGGGCTCCTGCCAGGACACGGCCCACAATGCTCCACTCTCACCTACCCCCAGGCAGAGCTGCAGCTGACCACCAGCGCAAGGCCTCCCTGCTAGATGGAGTAAGGCAAAACTCAAGTCAGTTAACCCCCCCAACCCCCAAGTCCTGCCACACTGGGAGGGGGTGAGAGGTGAGGTCTCGGCTGGGTTAGAGGTCAAGCAAGCTCTTTGCAATCAGCATGCAGCCTGTGTATGTGGGCACATCAGACAGGCAGTTCAGGTCAGCTGCTGAGCGGAGCAGGGGTGAAGCTGAGGTGCTCCCAGTGGCGATCTGGCTCAGCAGAAGAGCCTCTGGAAAGGACTGTCCTATTGTGGTCAATCAATGTTGGGCATGCTAGTAATAGTGGCTATTGGGCACCTCTTGTCATTTGGTACCAGCGAATCAATGTCTGATTTGTAATGACCCCATATGACAAGAGAATTGCCCCACAGGATTTTCTAGGTTGTAATCGTCATGGAAGGGAGCACTGGTGGCCTCAAGGTAAGAATCTGTGCTGTAATCCTAAAGCCATGTGGTTCGAATCCACCAGCTTCTTTGCCAGAGAAGGATGGGCCATCTCGTTCCTTGCAATTACTGCCTCTGAAAACCCACTGCAGGGTCAGCTATGGCTCATTTGTGACTCGATGGTATCCAGCAACAAACAACAACAACAACATCAATCTTCATGGAAGTGGATTGCCAGGTCTTTCTGCTAAGGAGCCCCTAGACAGGTTCAAACCACCACCTTTCAGGTTAGCTTAGCCTTTGAGCACCCTAAGGTACTGTGTGACGCATGCGCTACAGGCCTGGCCACCTTACCTCTGAGCTGTCTGACCCTCCTCTCCACAGACAGGCAAGGGGAGGCTCACAGATATTAAGGGACGTGTGCCAGGCTCCACTGCAGTCAAACTTCAATTTGAGACATCATGCTGTGGAAGGGGGAGGGACAGAGGAAGACTCTCACCAAGTTGGATTGACACAGGATCTGTAACATATCAGAGATGCCAGGGTGGTGCAGCGGGATAAGGCAAGATTCAGATCCGTGGTTCACAGGGTGGCTATAAGTCAAAGTCAAGTACACAGCTCCCCACACCAAGTCAGTATTCTTGGCTACCCTGCTCCCCAGGCCCATGCCAAAGCACTTCACAAAGTGAAGGACTTCACTGCAGAGTTTTTCCTCCTTTCCTTTTGTGAAGAGCCCCCCCAGTAGCTTCCAGCTTCTTTCTTTTTAACCAGTTTGGTGCCTGAAAGTTCCTGGTTGACAGCCTTGGTGGGGTGTCCCTGCCTGGTAATTATAGTCTCTCTGTATCCAGCATGGGACCTCAGGGGTCGTGTGTGTGTGTGTGTGTGTGTGTGTGTGTGTGTGTGTGTGTGTATGTGTGTGTTTCTGTATGTATGTGGGTACCTTCAATTGTCACATCCAATACCTGGAATCCCGTATGGCCACTTTATCTTTCTTGCATTCCCATGGCCCCAAGTGGGGAACCCCGGATGGCTGCAACTTCGTCCCGCGGGGAGCCCTTGCCACACTGGTTCACACAGGCTGATTCTGTGGGGACCCTCCCCAGGGGATGCCCATGCTCAGTGGGCAGTAACGCCCTGACCAGTCCTGCAAGTCCAGGGTCAGCAGGAGTCATCCCTTCCTGCCAAGGGTATCCTAGCAGTCTCTGCAGCTCCAACCCTTTGGGGAACTCATCTCTTGAGGTCCTGCGAGGGATCCCTCCTGGGGGGGCCCTGCTTTTCTATGTCTCTTCTGAGAAGCCATGTCTCCCCGACAGGCGGCCTTCTCTCTCCTCTCAAGACAAGCCTCTTCTGGGGAGTTCTGTGGCTCCACGACTCCCTGGGGAGCGCCCCTCCTGGGGGCCTCCTCTACCCACAAGAGTGAGTGTCTCTGGTGGGCGTCTCTGCTGCCGGGTCCCCCGCCCACGCTCTGCGTGGGGCGCCCCCTCTCCCCGTGCGGGCGGGCGGGCGGGCAGGCGCCAGAACAGTATCGCCGGCCGCCTGCAGGTGTCTCCCCACGGAGGGGCGCGCGTCTCTGCGCCGTGGCCGCTGCCAGGCGCCGGCGGCTCCTCGCCAAGGTGCACTTGCGCTCCG